CGCAATTGAATCGAACACGCTTCTTTCACCTGCGCTGAAACAGAATTATTGATGCCCGAAACCTGTGCTAACATCTTCTTGGTCGGCAAGTTGATTCTGCGTCTGAGCCTCTCCGTGATGAAGGAACACTCAGAGCCAGAGTCAATTAACGCTCTTGCCGCAAAGTTAGTACCATTAAAATGAATATTTACTCGAGCTGTCCCAAGTAAAACGCCTTTGCTTGAATTCGCGTGATGTGTTTGCATATGTCTGACTGCTTTACCTTTTCCCTTTGAAGATTGGTTTCGTAATTGTGCCTGCCTGGATGTCGATGCACCATTGTTAACTGGATTGGCTGTATTCTCCTTTGTCGTTGTTTTACCTGGAGCCGCCTGTATATGAAGTAGGGTGTGATGTCGAGAATGGCAATTGGCACAGTTGTAGGAACTTGTGCATTTCGACACCGTATGCCCAAAGGACAGGCAGTTAAAACAACTATTGTTGGTTTTAATAAAAGCGATCCTATCAGATATCGACATATTTAAGAATTTTTGGCACATATGCAGTCTGTGATCATTACTTTGACACATTTTGCAAGTAAATTTGCTTACACTAGTTTGAAAAGTGCCAAGTTTCTTTTGTGGCGGTTCAGAGGAATGCTTATGACTTAACCCTTTTGAAATTTTTGAAACCTTGATTCCTCTCAACCCCGAGACCGATTCCAAAGTTTGGAATCTGCTTGACAAGAATTGGTCCATGTCAGCCCACTTGGAAATATCTGTTTTATTTTGCACTGATTGCTCCCACAGCGAAAGAGTCTCTTCTGGTAATTTTGTGGAGCAAAGGTATGTAATTATTGGATCCCAGGTTGAAATGTCAATTTTATGACTCTCCAGGGAAGATATGCAATTGTTTATATCCCTTTGCAATCTTTTAATTGCACTCCCGCATTCAGTTTCCACCGCCTGTAGATTGAAGAGGATCTTCAACTGGGTGTTAACTAGGATCCTTTTATTCTCATACCTATCGCACAAATTCTTCCAGGCTATATTAAACCCATCATTTGTCAGGTCGCATTTCTTAACAATTTCTTTGGCTTCACCCTGCGTTTTCTGACTAAGATAGTAAAGCTTTTGAATGGGTGTCAGCCGCTTGTTCAATATATATATATAGCCGTGAACATGTCACGAAATGTTGGCCATGACAAATAATCGCCTTTGAATGCGTCGATATCACAAGGCGGTAGGTGTAAATTATGCTGTGTGGCTGACATGTCCTCATCTTCCTTTTCGGATTTTGCAAATTTTTCCGACAAATCGTTTATTTTGGACATACATCGCACAAAGGCTGCATAGCACGTTTTTCCTTTCTTACGTATCGAACTTAGATCCTTAGCACCAATTGATTCCGTAGCCAGCAAGTCATCAAAAAGTGCTTTGGCTTTCTCCCACATCACCTTTAGCTCCTCTTGCTGAATTTTCAGCGAATGCTTGGTGTGTTCACTTGTGGGTGTGCCAAGAAATTCGATATCGAATTCAATAACCAAGTCAGCTAAGCGAATGTATGTTTCCATTTTTAAAGTTTTAACCACAACCTAATAAGATCTCTCAAGATTCTTCCTCAGAATAAGCAACTCAAAGAAAACACCCCCTATAGTGAATGACACAGTTGAAAATATCACCAAATAGCCACCCTCTTTGCAAAATAAACACAAATATGCCTCCCAAACTCCACAACTTTGTAAATGAAAAAGTTCAAAATTTTAACTTGTTGTTTGTATCTATGTACATATATGTATAAGCGCTTTATTTAGTACTATATATATGTACGTGTGTGTGTATGTACATATGCTTCTATTATGCAGTAGGTTAGATTGGTCGCCACCCGACAATTAGATTTAATGTAATCTTATAATTTTTGATAAACACGTATATATGTGTATCTGAAATCGGTGTTAATCTATACCTTGCGGTAGTGACTTTGTGAATATAAAAGATATAGCGATTTTGAGGTTAAGCCGCAATGTGTTTGAACCGATTTTCGCGCGCTTTTAGTTGTAGGGCTATTGTGCCTGTAGTGGACAGACAAATGTGTTAGTGGACTGTAAATATATGCACTCAATACGTCTTTTCGCTTCTTATTTTTCACAAAATCACCCGCACACTTTTCTTTTTATTAACGCAAAAAAAAATTTTTCACCAAAAAAAAATACAACCAAGTGCTGTGATATTTCAAAACAACCACGTACCTTTTTAATGTGCTTTATGTTGTTTTGTTGTAGCTGATAAAAATTCAATTTTGCTGTGTGGTGACCACGTATGAATTCCTTGGCTAGCTGCTATGCTGGATTGTGGAATTTTAGCCGAAATGCTATCCAATAGTGCTGGTGGATTGATTCTCGGCTGATCTTGATCTAGCTGATTAGCGTTTTGTTCTGGCTGATATCTCCGGGAATCTTATAATTTGTGCTCACGGCGACGGAGGACCATGTTCATCGGGCAAAGATGGTTAAGAGCGCAGTTTTCGGATGTGCCGCAAATGGGTAATGGCCCAGCTTCAAGTTCGCACCGATGTAAATTGTATTTCAGGCCACCCCATATATATATATATGTAGCTGGATGAGGCGATGAAAATTGGTGGCTGCAAGACGTCTACTCAAATGGATATTCGGTAAGCAAGTAAAATCCGTTCTTTTTCTTTTTAATCACGTTAGCCTTTCGAACGGCTTTTTAAGCGAGGGAAATTTTAACATAACTAGCGTTCGACAATAGAAAGCAGTTAACTGTTGTCTTATGTTCAAATGTTAAATATTAGGGTGGCTCTTAAATGGCGTATTTAAGACGCTGGCCTAAACATATTGATTTTCATTATTTAAAATTTTTTATTTAACAATAAACAAAAAGTGCAATTTTTTTTTAAATTTAATTTCTCAAAAAGTATTTTTTTTCTCTCAAACTTTTTTACCGGGGAAGGGACTACAATCAACCCAAATCTCTAATAGCGAAGATTTTTTTTCTGAGTTATGATTTTTTATAGAAAATATACGTTTTTGTGGTACATACTACAATATTCTTATATTGTTTAACTAAATGGAACATATGTATGTAATATATCAGCAAAAAGTACAGCCGTGATCATTTTTTGTGTATCAAATAGATATTAGAACACACTTTCCACCATACAGTTTCGAAATACAAAATCAAATTTTCCCGCTTTTTATAATTTTAATTTTCTAATTGTGGCAACCATGGTTGGCACTACATTGTGAGTTTGGCGAATTCCTGGAGACGGCAGTAAGGGACAAGTTTGTGATGGGGTTGGAGAGAGGCGACAAAATATTTATGGAAAATGTAACTTCAACTACCCTCAACAAGGTCATTGAAATTGCTAATGCAGCGGAATATATTTCTCACCAAAACGGTACCGCTGAAGTGAAACAAGAACCGAACGACTTTTGTTTATTCATGCAAGGCAACAGCAATGATTTGCAGCAGAGGAGGCAACGCGAGCAGAGAAGCGACAGTAGTTCGCAGCAGCGAAGCGGTGGAGGCTCGACGCAGCAGCGGCAGCAGACGAGTATACGAAATGGGCAGCAAAGCGCAACGGAAAGGCAGCAGCAAGAACCACAGCAACAGCATTGTACGGTATGTGGATTCACAAATCATGCAAGCAGAAATTGTCGATTTAAGAATTATAGATGTAATAGATGCCATGAAAAAGGTCACTTAAAAAAGATGTGCACAAACAATAGTAGAAGTTTACACTATATTGATAATTCTGATCTTAATTTGTTTACATTAGTTAGCGATGGCGAGGGGCCCCTCCAAGTGAAAGTGTTTATAAATAATATCCCCTTGCTGATGCAACTAGATACTGGCTCGGAGTATAGCGTAATATCATTAGAAGCATATAGGAAATCTTTTGCAAATTGTAAGCTTGAGCCAACTTACATCACTTTGAGAACGTATAATGGTGCGGCAATTACCCCAGTAGGACTTTGTAATATGTCCATAGAATACAATTCACAGTGCAAGGTTGTGGCAACAATGGTGGTCCACCGCTACTTGGGAGAAACTTTTTACGTTGTTTTAAATTAAGTTTGACGGACATTCACTATGCAGACGTGACCCCCAATAATACAGACGAGGCAATACTTCGAAAATTTAATTCCTTGTTTGATGGTAGTTTGGGATGTTTCACAAAAAGCAAGGCGACGCTGCAACTTAAAGAAGGGGCTACTCCCAAGTTTTTTAAACCGAGGCCGGTGCCATTAGCCTTAGGAGAAAGTAGAGTGCGAATTAGAAAAACTAGTGTCAATGAAAGTGCTCGAGCCGGTCGACTTCTCCGACTGGGGTACGCCAATTGTGCCAATTATGAAAAAGAACGGAGATGTTAGAATTTGTGGGGATTTTAAGGTCACGTGAAATCAGCATCTGGTCGTGGAAAAGTACCCATTACCGCGAATAGACGATATTTTTTCCAGGTTGCACGGTGGTGAGGAATTTACAAAGCTAGACTTAACCATGGCATATCAGCAAATAGAGTTAGATGGATCTTCGAAAGCCCTGACAACGATTTCGACTACAAAAGGGCTATTCCAATATACACGTTTAATTTATGGGTTAGCATCAGCACCCGCCATTTTCCCAAAAAATTATGGAAAGTTTATTACTGGGAGTGGAAGGAGTAGTTGTTTTTCTGGACGACATATTAATAACAGCTCCCAGTAGGAAACTACACATTGTAAGATTAGAGAAAGTACTGCAAATTCTCCAAAATGCTGGGTTCAAGCTCTCACGCGATAAGTGTAATTTTTTTGCCAACAAATAAAGTATCTGGGACACATAATTAGTAAATACGGCTTGCATACCAACCCAGATAAAGTGAGGGAAATGAATATATGCCATACCCCACCAACATTAAAGAATTGCAATCGTTTTTAGGTGTGGTGAATTTTTACAGGAAATTCATTCCACAAGTAGCAAATCTCTGTACACCACTGTATGAGTTACTGAAAAAGGGTAAAACTTTTACTTGGATAAAGGAATGCGACAAAGCGGTAAAAGGTTTAAAACTAGCATTGAAAACGGGCACATTTTTAGCACACTTCGACCCCCTGTTGGAGACGCGCCTTAAAGTAGTTGCTAGTCCGGTAGGAGTAGGAGCCATTCTGTCCCAAGTTCGTCAAAATGGCGGGGAAACTCCCATTGAGTTTGCGTCAAGAAAGTTATCCGAGGCGGAGCGAAGATACTCTCAGTTAGATAGGGAGGCGGTAGCGATTCTTTTCGACATTAAAAAGTTTCACCAATACCTTTACGGTAGGAAATTTTTGCTAGTGACGGATAATAAGCCATTGCATCATATTTTCAATCCAAAGAAAGGTATTCCAGTTATGGCCGCAAACAGATTTCAACGTATAGCTCTGACCTTATCTGGCTATAATTTCGAGATTGTGCACATAAAGTCAGAATGCAATATTGCTGACTATTTTTCAAGATACCCAACTGAAGACCATGGCGGCATGGAGTTACCCAATAACATTTATATAAACTATATCAAACAAATGAATAGAGTACCTATTAAATTAGAAAACATTAAGAGCGAAAAGAAAAAGGATGATCTGCTGCAAACAGTTGCAAAATTTTTAAGGGAAACGTGGCCGGTGAAATGTTCAGATTTCGAGTTACGTCCATTTCACGAGCGAAATTTGGAATTGTCAGAAGAGGACGGGTGCTTATTTTGGGGAAAAAGGATAATTATTCCAAAAGCACTGCAAGCGGAAGTGAAAGGCTTTTTACACGCTTGACACATGGGTATTATTAAAATGAAAAGCATGGCCCGGGAATGTTGTTGGTGGCCTAAGCAAAGCAAGGACTTAGAACAAATAGTTAAAGGCTGTGAGCCCTGTCTAATGACACGTTCGCGTCCACCGAAGCAACAACTGATTAGTTGGGAATGGCCTACGGAACCATGGCATCGTATACACATAGATTTTTTTGGACCCTTTTTAAATCGCTGGTGCTTAGTAGTGGTGGACAGTTATAGTAATTGGGTAGAATGTATAGATATGGGCAAAAATATCACAAGTAGCGCGACGATTAACATTTTAAGAGAACTAGTTGCACGTTTTGGGCTACCACGAGTAGTTGTTTCCGATAACGGTTCGTCATTCACGTCGTGTGAATTTAAAAGCTTTCTGGATCGTAACGCTATACAGCATATTACCACCCCTGTGGGGTATCCCGCCACCAATGGCTAAGCCGAAAATACGGTTAAAACTATTAAAAATGCATTGAAAAAAATGTATATCTAGTTGACGTTAAGCAATTTAACACAGTTTTAGCTAGGTTTTATTCGAATACAGAAACACAAAGCACCTATGCACCGGGTTGTCACCGTCAATGCTTATGTTTAACCGGCAATTGAGATCACGTTTAGACTTAATAAACCCAAAGAGACATGTTTTGAAATGCAAGACGAACATAGGGTAAGAGAATTGGTTGCCAAACATCAAAACAAGCAGAAGTATTACTATAAGGGTAGCAAAACCAACAAGTTTCAAGTAAATAATTCAGCTATGGTCAAAGATTATTCTGCCCCAGGGAAAATTTCATGGTTAATTGGTTAATTAAGGAGAGAATAGGCGAACAAACATTTTTAATTGAAACAAGTACAAAGAAGCTCTGGAAAAGACATGCAAACCAAAACACATTTGATAATCAGCAGCTAGTAGAACCACAAATAGAATTAGAAGATACCAACAAAAATTATGTAAATACGAGTTCGTACAGTGATATAATAAATGTAGAAAGCAATAAGGAGGATGAAAATAGAGAAGGTGAAAATAAAAATTGTCTAGAAGAAAATGTACAAAAGGAAAAAACATATAATTTAAGAGAAAGAAAAAAAGGTTAAATACAATATATAATTAAGTAATATTTAGATAAGTATGGCTATTCAAAATTACCAACAGTTATTGTATTAATGGTTGCGTTCATAAGACGTAGCTGTTTAGCTCATCTGCTACGAAACTGCTGGCAACTGTTGAACCCAACAATTACGTCTTAGAAACGGTTTGATGAATATGCTGCCAAATGAACAGCTGATAAATGTAAACAAATTATATTGCAACAAATAGAGATAGTTGCGTCGATACTGTTTAGAATTCAACGCTGAGCGGCCGCCGTGTTGAAAAATCGTTCAATGTTACAATGAATTAAACAGTGTAAAATTATGTAGCAAACATCTTAAAAACGTATTTAGAAACGTAGTATTATTATTAAATATTTTAGTTACTTTATCACGTCAATAATATAAAATATAATAAATTTGTTTGCAACTGCCACCTAACAAAGCGGCGTTAGATTTAATATAAGCGGCGTAAGTCTTTTCGATCAGCTGTTTAGGCTAAGCCCAACACGTTTAGTTCAGGTAGCGTAAAAATTTTCCGCTGGAAAAAATGGCGGAAAGCTGCCAACTGTTGGGCTGAGCGTAACTACTCAACTGTGCGTTTCTAAGACAAACAGCCAACGGTTACACAACAGCTACGACTTATGAACGCGCTCAATGAAATTGTTAGTTAATAAGAAGTTAAGGTAATACTCAATAAAATAAGGTAAAAGTTGAACGACTAAGGGGGGGGTATATGTAATATTTTTAATAGTTGTCAGTCAAGAAGTAACACTGCTGACTCTTATACACACGGCTAGCAACTTCGCCGACTAAGAGGCAGCACTGTTAACTCGCCTAAGGACATATAAAGAGTAGCTTGACAGACACCAAGGCGTATTTAACAAGGTGGTGTTGGGCGTATATAAGTAAAAAATTACACTTACAAATTATACGCTGATGTCCATACTGTCATTGGTATGACTTACAACAAACACATCATTTTGACGTAATGGCCTCCACGGCGAAAAACTCAGCTGTCGCCCCAACACCACCTTGTTTAATACACCTTGACAGACACTATGTGCGTTGTTAGTCGTTCAACTACTGCCTACATCAATACATTATAAAGGAAGTTCCAAAGTTATGTAAACACATTAAGAAAATCTTAAAGTATTTTGTTTGAATTGAAAATTCAGTACAAATCAGTAAAAATTTTGAAAAATCAGGACATTAGCGTACTGATTGAAGAAATGAATAAAATCAGTACAAGAGTTGAAAAATCAGTACTGTACAGATAATAACAGTACGTTAGGCAACCATATTCACCCGATTTACAATAGTGAGGTGTCAAACGAAGAGGCTATCTTACAGTGGCTACACACGACGAACATATCCGCGCACATGTTCGTCGTTTGTAGGGCGGTTCACGAGCATGCTCGCAAAAAATAAAAAAAATTTGTAGCGTGGTTTGCGAGCATCGCATTGGAAACAAAAACAACAACCTCATTTTGTGTTGATGCTTGCAGTGTGCACATCGCGGATAAATGCATCCAAGCCATGTGCGGTAATTGAATTTTTGATAAATGAGGCTAAATTACTATATGTATATGTATGTACATACATACAAGTAAAATATAAATAAATTTAAGTAACACTTACATAAAAAAACCTAAGTCATAAGTATTTCAATTGCATCATACGCGTCTTTCCTTTCCATGTTTACGCTTTGAGTACAAAATCACTTATGAGCCGCTCACCGTCTGTAGCAAACGACAGCGAGCATGTTGGCGCACATGTGCGCGGATATGTTCGTCGTCTGTAGCAGAGTTCGGCAGTGAATAGCTCAGCTTATGAATATGCTCACATGCTCATGAATCACCCCCATTGTTCATTCAAACTTGCTGTCACTAAAAAATGTTACTCTCTCACAATTGCTTGGCTTGCTTGTAAACTAGTGAGCATGAATATCTTTCACAATCGCTGATGGCTTTTACTTGGCTTGGCTTGCTTCTCTTTATGCAATTGTTTGAGAGATTCATTGTATACCGCTATATGAGTTAAGTGGCTCATAGTTTTTTCATGAACACATACACAAATTCAGCGCCTCTGCAGTTTTGCTTTGCGCGCAAGACCGTTTGCGACGTTGAATAGATGCAGGCATGTGAAAAATGATAGGGGATGACATTTGGACCAGCTTTGACTATTTTTCTTTTGTTTGTTTAGTGTTTATTAATTTTTAAAAAAATATAGCTAATTTTATCCTACGTAAGCCATATATGTCGAAATTTCAAACTTTGTAGAAAAATTAAGAAAATTTAAGAATTTTGAGATAATTCTAGTTTGCAGTTTTATACCCAATTAAATTATAGCTAAGAAAGTATAAGTCTAATTTGGCTAAGAATTCGCGTTGATTTTTGATAACTTTTTTTGGGGGGATGGTGTTATTATTATGGGTGAACCCCTCAGCAAAAAAAAAAAGAAAAATCAACGCGAATTCTTAACCAATTGAAATTTGCAGTTCCTTAACTGGAATTTAATAGGCTAAAAATCTGCATACTTAGAAATTCCTAATAAAAAGTTTGTTGTTGTTGTAAAAATGTTCCTGCTTTTCTACAAAGTTTGAAATTCGGACTTATATGGTCTTTGTTAGATAATGGGCTATACTTTAATAATAAAAAAAAAATGAAATTGAACCAACAAAAGAAAGACGTATAGCCAAAATTGGTCCTAATTGTTTTTCACATGACTATATCGAGCTCTAACCGTATAGATACCTCCGGCTAAGACTACTAGATTGAGACAATACTTGCGCTGAATCGTTTAAAATAAAGTATTCGTGAAAAAGTATTTTCTTGTAGTTTTCGGTAGGATATATCCTTCTGCAAACATTTTTTTCGCAATTTTTCAACTGTTTTTAATAGTAGTTTTTATTAGAAAATTTTAATTTTTTCAAAAAAAGAAAAAAGTGTGTTTTTTATATCATTGAACTGACATGTGATTTAGTTTTAATTAATTATACTTGTTAGCCATTACAAGAGACTGAAACCTAGATTTATAAAATATAATAATCTATTACATTCCTGGAACAAAGTGTGATTTATCTAAAAAGTGACCTTTTTACACAAGTTTTTTTTTTGTAATTTTTTCCAAAAATGTAAATACTTTTATTTCTAGAAATTCCCAGTGTATTTTTAAGTTAAGTTTTTAATTACATTAATTTCATTTAAAAAAAAT